AATTTCGAAAGAATAGCTGGTCAAAAAATTATTAATTGTTAATAATTCTGGTGTTCATCATTTACATATCAGCATATGAAAAAAAACAAAAGATAATTGTTAATAATTAGTTAATAATTATTAAGTAAATATTAATAATTAGCTTATAAACTAATCGCTAGTGCAATGCGGAGTACAGTGAGCTGGCCGCTGACTTTTTGCACTGCTTTGCGGAAATTATTATAATTTACCCGTTAATGAAACAGCTCGTTACAAATTTACGGTAAATACTAGGCGGTATTGGTCGATGATAACAATTTAGCATAGCAGGACTCACCATAGTCATACTATGCACACCAGTATTTGAAGTGAACATTACCTCTTCCAAGTTCTCGTACCTTGCTTATCTAGATATTCCATATAATATTTAGATATATATTCTAGATAATGTTTTAATTGCATGCCATTCCGGTGCCTCTAATCTTGTAGCAAATACTCCGTCTCGTCTTGTTCAGAGTGTGATATCAGACCGGCACCTAACTCCATGTTACTGGCATGAGTTTATAGAACAAACTTTTCTTCGGAATCAGATGGTTTCATGATCAGAGCGGAGATCATGAAATGCTTAGTTCTGCCAAACATACCTAAAACTACTGATACCAGCATACCATGTTCAAGTATCTTCTAAGCTTCTTTTGTTTCTTTGGATTTTAAGACTTCAATAGATGGCGCATATTATCTAAGTCGAGTTTATTCCGTTTTTCCGATTGGGTTTACTAAAATACCCAGGTATCGTATGTCTGACTTGCAGAATACGCTCTTCTCCTGGTTAATGGCCATTACTAGAAGCAGAGCTTCAATCTTTCTCAATCGCCTCAGTACCTTAGCAAGGTACAGTAGGTGCTTCTCAATAAAAATTGATTTTATTTATGATGACACAACTCATAAAAAAAGAAAAATCATATACTCGCATGTATTTCTAAGCTCTACAAAACTCCTTTAAAATCATATTCTATTGGTTGCTGTAGCACGTTTCGGAGCCGAGATATAAAACTTTGAATTTTGCTAATTTTGGTCTAGGGTGCGCAAAAGTCGTCCGACGGCAGTTCAAATGTATACGTGTATACGCGCGCACGCGTACGCGCGCGCGCGTGTGTGTGTGTGTACGTGGATGTGTGTATGCATGTGCGTGTGTGTCTTTCTCTCAATAACTTTAAGTCACAAAAAATTATAATTTTTCTCCATATTACCATAAAAATAACTTTTTCTTTTTAATTAAACTTTTTTTGAATACATATTCATTGTCATGTAGGACGATGCACGTAAAAACTAGTTTAAATCACCTAAATATAAATTACTCAATTTTGTGAAATACTATTCTTCCAAACAAAATGTTTCAGATATAATAACTACAAACTGACAGGTTTTAGGGTTCTTCTTTGAACAATTGATTTCGAATTATAATTATAATAACTAGATCATCAAAATTATGAACAATTTTTATGGTAATTCATGTTAACATAGATTTAATCTTCAGTCTTATGTAAAAATGTTCAATAAAATTATCGTTGTAATAGAATAAATTATACAATAAAAATAGTAATATATCCCCAGGCTTCATATAATAAAAATCTTAAAATATTCGGATCTACAATATTTTCTAAGTAATATTTAGATATGATATTCCTTTTAAAATATACATTGTAAAGTATATGATTCCCCTGCTTTGAAAAGAAATTCTTTTTTCAACATTAGTAGTTACGGTTTGTCTGTTTTGGAATAAAGTCGATCTTTTATTTTAAAACTATCAAAATGAAGAAAATCTAATTTATTCATGATTTGTTTTAAAGATCTTCAAATTCAATTTAATTTCGATTATTAGTACACGGTGATCCGAAAGTATGTCCGAAATCTCACTAAATGTATGTTTTTCCCAAATAATGTCATAAAACAATTTTTTTTAAACTAAATGAATTTAACTGATACTTTTTTGATAAAACTGATCATCTGAACATTTTATTATACCGTGTGACGTCGTGGCAACAACACAGCTCAGGTGCGCTTGAGGCTTAGCGCAGTCTCAGGGTTTCGATGTTACCAGAACTGCGATTTCTCGCCTAAACTGGCGTGGATCACTTGTCAAGAAAATTTTTAACCGAGGGAGATAGTGCCACTGAGCATATATTTCTGCCCTTGGATTCCAATCAATAGTTGTATTCCTTAGGTGAGAAGCACCACGGGTCCTATCAATAGTAGTACACGGATACACTAACAAAAATAGTACCTGGAGCCTATCAAAAGTAGTCTCCAGATATGGAAAAAAAGGGAAGTAATTTTATTACGGGCTATTTCTAAAACAGTGGAAAGATAGATGAAATAAAAAAATTATTTTGTTTGCTTACTGGTTTTTTTTATTGTGAAATTTCCCTTTTCTTAACTTGCGCGTTCTTATTTGGTATTGGTCGATTTCTCCTTGACTTGTTCTGTTTCTTGTGTTGCTTAGCTGCTTGACTTCCTTGGTTTGCTTGATCTGCTCCTCACTAGCAGCACGAGAAAGATTTTACTCTTCGTGTGGTTCCCTTCTCAACTGCCCCTCGAGCCTAGTACAGCTCCTTTTATACACTGGAGTGGCTGGGTGGCGAGTCCCTCTCTCTGCGTCTTGATTTTGCTCATTTTTGGGCCCTGATTAGAACCGGGGCGTGGGGAAAAATCGGAGGCGCGGACACTGGGGTACAGGCCTTTGCTCGCGAGATGGCTCCTCGAGTACCGTTCTCAATCAAGATTTATTCAATAAGAAGGTTTACAATAACTTAAAAATTATTTTTGGTACAAACTCGATCGGTCGTACATAACTTACAAGTTACTTGATACTAGGGATAATATCGTAGGTTTTTTCGCAATTTACAGTCGAATATAATTTGTATTGAAATAAGAAAAGAAATAGAAAATAAAGGATAACTTATTATATCGCACGCTGTATTGTATAGATTCATGGATGGTTTATTAAATTATTCACTAATCATGCAGTTCTATTTATTTTAAATTTTTAATCGGAGAACTAATACAAAAAAACTTATGTAACTTAACAGGGCGATTATTTCCTAATTTCTTACAATAAAAGTTCGTTTAATAACATAGCATTTATATTAACGCCCATATACGAGGTGTGATCAAAAAGTAAGGTGAATTTTTATTTTTCTGAAAAAATATTTATTTATTCATCAATTTTTATTTTATCTCCTTCAAAGTAATCCCCCTCGGATATAATGCACTTGTGCCAACGCTTTTTCCAATCCTCAAAGCATTTCAAAAAATCATTTTTTGTGATCTTGTTTAGTTCATCCTTCGATGCCGTCTTTATCTCCTCAATCGTGGCAAAACGCCGTCCTTTCATGGGCCTCTTCAGTTTTGGGAACAAGAAGAAGTCACAGGGGGCCAGATCTGGGGAATACGGTGCCTGTGGCATCGTTACTATGTTGGTTTTAGCCAAAAATTCGCGCACAAACAACGATGTGTGAGCAGGGGTGTTATCATGGTGCAAAAGCCAATTTTTATTTTTCCACAAATTCGGACGTTTCTGGCGGATTGCTTCGCGCAAATTGCGCATAACTTGCAGGTAATATTCCTTATTTACTGTTCTACCCTGTGGCAAGAACTCATGATGCACCACGCCCCTGCAGTCAAAGAAAACTATAAGCAAAACCTTTACATTTGATCGAACTTGGCGTGCTTTTTTTGGTCTTGGTGATCCAGAATGCCTCCACTGGGACGATTGAGTCTTAGTCTCGACGTCAAAATTGATTGGCACGAATCAAATGAGATGCCAATATCATCAGCAATTTCTCTAATGGTAATTCGACGATTTCCCAACACTATTTTCTTCACTTCTTCAACATTCTCATCAGTTGTTGATGTGCTGGGGCGTCCAGAACGAGGTTCATCGTCGGTGTCTTCTCGGCCTTCTTGGAAGAGTTTACACCACTTGTAAACAGTTTTTTGGCTTAAAATAGACTCACCGTATGCCACTTTCAGCGTTTTAAGTGTTTTGGAACATTTGATTCCATTTTTCACACAAAATTTAATGCAAACTCTTTGATCCATGTTTTTAGACAGCAGCAAATCGTGGAGCACGCAAAACACTTCTAACCTTGATGCCTCTCACAAACAAAACAAACATACTACAAAGCTGAAATTTGGAACGTATGTTCTAGACGAGTGTACCGACATAACCAAATAAAAAAGTCGAAGATTGAACGGACGTAGCCCGCTAAATTTAAAAATTCACCTTACTTTTTGATCACACCTCGTATATTTTTTCTTGATTTCCCTTTTTTCTTATTTTCTGGCTAATCGAAGCTTCGGAGTGAAAACTCAATAAGACGTTTGAGAGGCCAGAATTATCCGGGATGTATTGCGGAAGTTAAATAATTAAGTTTGGATAATTCTAAATTTTATTTCATCCCAATGATAAATTTTTGAGCATCTTAAAGGAAGAAAAATCCCGTAGGAAAAGTAGCATACAGGATGCAGTCACGGATTTATGACCCTCTTCTCCCATCGACAAGTTGACGTCTGTTGAACACGTGTAAGGGAGCTACGCGCTCTTTGCATGCGTGAGAGAGCACTGGCTCGGATGCAGTACAGATTTTTATTGCCTTTCGAGGGAAATTCCTATCACGACACTCATCACAGTCCCCCTCGCTATTGAGCAACTGTTTTCATTCCGTTCTTGGCTTAGATGCTACACAAAAAAAAAATTCTTATTAAATTAAAATTATATTATCCGCCGTCACAACCGTTAAAAATATTTATAAACAAAAGATAAAGATATAGTAAAAATTAAAAGACTTAGAATGTTACAGAATAACCTTCGATAGTCTTCGTAGTCGTCTGTTCACTTATCGTTGGTAAACTACCTTGACCCTACAATTATAAATATTAAATATTAGCACTTAACTAACATTTCTGCAGAATGATCTTTTCTACTCTTGACTGACCTAACGAAAATTATTTTATTTCAGAAAATTGCAAAGCAGAAATAAGAGATCCTTGAAGTGCCACAAAAATTGGATTTTAAAAAAAAAACAAAAGTTCCGAAGACAAGGAAAATTTGTCAAAAATGATTCAAAATACAGTTCACGTAGAAGATGTTTAAAGTTTTAGAATATGTTTAATTATAGATTTATATTTCTTTTGGAAATTTTATTCTTATATAATCCTCATAACTGAAACTTTTTAAAATATAATATTAAACTTTACCTTCTGCGATTTAATGTTTAACATGGAATCTTCAATTACGAAAAATTTACCCGTGAGCCATTTAAGAAAATTCCAGCTCAAGGCGCCACGTCAACAAATTATTTAGGTGGTTAATATCAGACGGTGCATTCGCTTTGCTGTTACAGTAGTAATGGACTTGTTACCACCTTGACTCACAAAACAACCTGAAATTATTTAGGAAATACGTGCACATGCATGAAATAAACAGGCACCCACGTACCCTTGATTCAAATGATTACAACTTCCGTCCAACATAACGCTTTCGTATTTTTAGTACCAGTCACTCAAATGCCGTGACATGCCGCCTTAGAATATTAGTATTTTCATTCTGTATATATATAGAGTGTAAAAAAATAATATATAAAATATCCTCTACTTACTCTCTCCTTTAATCTCTCTTTGTCTTTCTCTCAGGTAACATAATAAAATACTACAATCAACATAAAAATGTTCGCAACTAAATTATATGTATCACAAATTTGATAGACGACGTAGTTTCACATAGATAAAATTAGTGATGCACTATAAAATTTGTAAGATAAAACATATGAAATGCATTATAAAAGTTGAAAAAATAAAATGAGGTCGAGCAAAAGCATATCAAAGCAGTGCGGAATCATTCAACGTGAGAAATGCATAAATCATGCATATTTATAGTAAAAACCATGAAATACGTGGGTATCATCTCAGTGCAAGAAGTTGGAACTCAGTCTAAAAATGAGAGACGAAGAATATTGTGTTTCTTTCAAATACTAAACTTTTCACTTTCAATGATCGGATACAAATCTTCTAATCACTCACTACTAATTCTAAATAACTCATATAGATTCAAAGAACCAAAACCATGACTTAGATTTTTCTAAATCTTTAATATATTCATCTGTATAAAATTTAACGAGATACATAGTTTTTTATTTTTCCTAGAAATTACGATTAGTATTGATAACATTTATATTTTGTGTTACGTCTTGTTTTTATGTTATTTTATAAGGAGATAATTCATGTATCCACGTGAATAGCAAAGGTTTATGGAATAATACGGATTGTATACGGAAAGAGTATTCTATAGCGTGAAAGCAATAAACTTAGCAAAAATACTGTAAATCAAATAAATTAATAACAAAAATATATCCTAAAATAATAAGAGATATCAACTCTCATTACCTATACTTATGGATGTGTTGGATAAAGTCCATCAGTTGAATTTATTATTTTTCCTTTTTTATGTTCGTCTGGCTCTAATATTCCCGTTATTAGTGAGCGCGCCTCAGCTTCTTTATTTTTAATATTGTGGATATTATTTGATTCCTCAAATAAAATTGAATTACTGAACATAAAAATTACAATTTTCAAAAACTTTTTTTCCCTTTTATTTTCGTTACAAAAACATAATTTGTTAATAAAAATAATAATACTGTCAGGATTAAAATTAAAATGCATACTTAATTGGGAAACTTATTCACTTGAAAAAATAAATTTACATTAGACTATGTTTAGTATATTCTACAACTTCAACTTCTATTTAACGTTGGATTTGATTGCAGCGATCATAAATACTTATTAGACTATTATTTCCGTTCGTATGAGAATAGAAAAAATAACAAAGATAAAACTATCTAAAATCGATGGAACGATCATTAAATTTCTTGCTAAATATTTTTCAAAATAAATATATTTAGAATAGACAAATGCACTGTACAATAAAAAACAACATTAGAAATATTTCAATTAATAAAAATAGAGATGCAACAACTAGAACTTGTGTAAAGAAAATTAAACTTTTTGCTTAATTACAGCTAGTGTATAAACTAGTTTATATGAGCGTGGTCCGATAAGTACTTAGCCTCACCAATCGATGGCGCCACTCTCGCAAGAGAAATATACTACCACGTAGTACTATCTTGTCAATGGTTACTGTCAAAATTTCAGCCAAATCGGACTCATAGTTCTGTTGTGACCGCGTGTGAAAAAGGGCGTGTTAGAAAAATACAAAAAGAGGAGTATTGATCAGTGATTCGATTCTTGTTTTTGGAAGGGAAATCGCGCAGTGAAATCAAAAAGCGCTTGTAAGCTGTATACGGTGACTCTTCTCCTTCGATGGCGATCGTCGAAGATTGGTTTAAGGAGTTTCAACGTGGTCGCACGTCGATTTTTGATGAGCCACGCCCAGGTGCTCCGAAAACGGCTACCACGGAGGATAACGTGACAAAAATTCATGATCTCGTATTGGCAGATCGAGGATTGAATTTGCGCGAGATAGTTGAGATCGTAGGCAATTCAAAAGACCGCGTGGGTTATGTTCTGCATGAAATTTTGGGTATGAAAAAGCTGTCAGCGCAATGGGTGCCGCGTTTACTCACTCCGGACAACAAGCGCAACCGTAAGACAACTTCAGAGCAGTGTCTGATGCTGTTTAAGCGTAATCGGAAGGAGTTTCTACGTCGGTTCGTAACCGTCGATGGAACATGGTTCCACCGGTATACACCAGAGACCAAGGAACAGTCGAAACAGTGAACTTTACCCGGCGAAAGTGCTCCGAAGAAGGCGAAGACTGCCTCATCGGTCGGGAAGGTGATGGCCACCGTTTTCTGGGATTCACAAGGTATGATCTACATCGATTACCTGGAGACGGGCAAAACGATCATAGGGCTGTACTATGCCGAATTATTGGGCCGATTCAACGTCGAATTGCAGGAAAAATGGCCCCATTTGGCGAAGGAAAAGTGCTCTTCTACCATGACAATGCACCGGCTCATACCTCCGTCGTGGCCATGGCCAAATTGGTTGAATTAGGCTACAAACTGCTGCCCCGTCCACCGTATTCTCCAGATTTGGCTCCGTGCGACTTCTATTTGCTTCCAAACTTGAAAAAGTCACTCGCCGGGCAGAAATTTGAGTCGAATGAGGAGGCAATCGCCGCCACGAAGGCCTACTTTGCAGACCTCGAAGAAACGTATTTTTCAAATGGGTTAAAGAAGTTGGAGCATTGCTGAGCCAGGTGTCTTATACTAAAAGGAGACTATTTTGAAAAATAAAACGCCACTTTTCTAAAATTTTCATTTTTCTTTAGTAGGCTGAGTACTTATCTGACCACCCTTGTACAATTTAGTTTTTTAAAGATTATTTCACTCTCATTGCAAAATTTTCTACAAATCTGTTACAAAGCTTGGACAAAACATTCTCAACGCTTGGTCGAGTTCTTCCCATAACAATTCGATTATAGAATTTATAAGGTAGATTTTGCATAATTTTGATGTACGAGGTTGGTCCGGAAAGTATCAAGCCTACCTTTATATTTTCGTGCTAGCATTATTCTTTATCATCTGGTGGGTGGCATCCTTCAAAGTAATCCCCACTTGATTGAACAACACGGTTCCATCGATCATTCCACTTTTCAAAACAGTCCTGGAACTCACTTTGAGGGATAGCCTTAAGTGCACTCGTCGCATTGTTTTCAACCGTTGTTTTGTCATCAAATCGGTGTCCTTTGAGTGGTTTTTTTAGTTTTGGAAACAGCCAAAAGTCACAAGGGGCTATGTCGGGACTGTATGGAGGTTATCGAAGCAATGCGATATTGTGTTTGCTCAAAAACTGCTGCACAAGATTGGATGAATGCGCTGGCGCATTTTCGTGATGGAAAAGCTAGTCACTACTTTCCCAAAAGTGCGGCCGTTTTCTTCTTACTGCATCACGCAAACGTTTCAAAATTTGAAGGTAGTATTCTTTATTGATTGTCTGACCTGTTGGTGCATATTCGTGATGTACAACACCTTCACAATCGAAAAAAACAATCAACATTGACTTAACATTGCTCCGACTTTGACGTGCTTTTTTTGTTCTTGGCGATTCAGAATGCTTCCACTGTGAAGATTGTTGTTTTATTTCAGGATCATAACCATAAACCCATGATTCATCACCTGTAATAACTTTTCTAAGCACATTATCATCATTATTGACCATTTTCAGATTGGCCAGAGCGATTTCTAAGCGAATGTTCTTCTGCTCTACTGTGAGCAATTTTGGGATGAATTTTGCACACACGCGTTTCATTCCTAAATTTTCGGTTAACATTTCTGAAATGATAGTTTTTGGTATTTTAAGGTCTTCTTCTAGTTCTCGCTCAATATTATCTGTGGTTTTTGTCGTCGAAGGTCGGCCGGAACGAGAATCACTATCGACAGAAGTACGACCATCCTTGAACCGTTTATACCACTCTTTTGTTCGTGTTTTGCTCATACACTCGCTTCCGAAGGCCTTTTACATCATTTCAATAGTTTCCGAACTTGTTTTTCCGAGTTGAAAGCAAAATTTGATGCGAATTCGTTGATCTTGTTTTTCAGTCATTTTTGACAATATCAAAATCCGACGAACGCGAAAAAGGCACTGTAAACAAAGACCCGCTGCACATGAACTATATGTCCGGCAGGTGTCAGTAAGTAACCAATAGATTCGTGAGACTTTACTGTTGACGTTTCTGTCCGGTAGAGGTCGCTCGAACACTATGGCGCAAAGATATAAACGTAGGCCCGATACTTTCCGGACAGACCTTGTATATATAGGATCATTATCTTACTGAAATTTAAATCCAGGTCTCACTAACCACGTTCTTGATATACCTGCATACTTTTGCAAAATGTTTTTGTAACTTTCCTTCTTTAAGATTCCCTCGATTTTCATGAGGTCGCCGACTTTGGATCCAGAAAAACAACCACATACCATAACTGAACTATCATCATGCTTCACACTTGGAACTAAACAATCATCATTGTATTTTTCATCAAACCGTCTTCTCACATATACCCTTCTTTTGCTTCCAAAAATTTCGAATTTCGACTGGTGATACCAAAGAACTTTCTTCCAATCAGCAATCGTCCAATTTTCATGTACTTTAGCCCACAATAAGCCTTTCTTTTTATTTACACATCGTGAAAGGAGCTTCTTCACTGCAAGCCGACCAAAAAGACTTTTTTTCAAACGTCTCTTTACCGTATTACACTTACAGGATTTTGCAAATGTTTGTTTACATCAGCAGTTAGTTCACGGACAATGGTTTTTCGATTTCGTAAACTTACTTTACAAATGTAGTTGTCTTCTTTGGCCGTAGTTTTCCTTTTTGGCTCGCGTCGTCTATTTTCTACAGTATCACTTTAACAGAATTTATTTATATTATAAGCAACAATACGCTTGTCTATTTTCAACGGTCTGGAAATTGCATGACGACTCGTTTGAAGTTCATAAAGTCCAATAATCCTATACCCGCACTAATAACTTGTTTTATTTAGCCATGGTCACCACACATCATAGAAAAGTTGTTGACACTTGAATCGTTCATGATCGACTAGTTTATTTATAATCAGTGATACGAAAATATTGGAGAAGGTACTATATTTCATTAGATGAGCGTTGGGATACCACCTCATTTATTTGTGGACAATTGAGTATCATTCAGTACATTGGATCTACTCTGAATTAACCCTTTGCGGCACAGTGGGAATACCTTTTTTCATAGCATTTTTTGCAAATTTAGAATAGTTTTTGATGAATTTAACCTGAATTTTTTGTTATTTTACGATTATAGGATGATATACAATTAAAATTTACGTCAATTGGTGCCACAACTTTTATTAATTTGTTAATATTGTTAAACAAAGACGAAAAAACAGCCCTATTTATAAACAAAATTCATTATTGAAGAAACTTTCAGTTATAATTTTACAAAAATTTATACAAATGAGTTTTTGGGATCGCTAATCACGATTCTGAACTCAGAATTTTGAAATTTAAAATGGCGGATCCAAGATGGTGGCATAAATTCAGTGTATCATTTTTATTTCATTGATAATTTGTATACAAGGGTTTTTGGGATCGCTGATCACGATTCTAAACTCAGAATTCCGAAATTTAAAATGGCGGATCCAAGATGGCGGCAAAAATTTGATTTATATTTTTTACTTTATTGAAAAATGGTATACAAGGGTTTTTGGGATCGCTGATCACGATTTTGAACTTAGAATTTCG